ACTTGGCAAAAGAAGGCCAGAGACAGATTCAAGAAATTTGACTCGCCCTACCAGATGGAGTAAACATTTGTTTGAATATGGTTAAAAGAATAGATATCTTTGGATATAAAGGGGCCTTACAATAAGAGGGATAAGATAGAGGTAATATAGTATTCTTCATAATATATAAAATGTAAAAATATTGGGATGATATATGTGAATGAAAAGTTTGAAATTTAAAGGTAAGTTAGGCTGAAGAGAATCAGGATCAAGGAATGACTGAAATACTAAAGGGAAATTCAGCTTACATAAGAACTTTGAAAATAAGATATATAGTGATTTAAGAAATTAATTTTTACAATTATGTGAAATATAAACTGATCAGAGAAGATGTTAGATGTCATAAGATAGATAAGCAGTATAGTATTTTTATAACGCATGAAATATGAAAACATTGGGATGGTGTATCTAAATAGAAAAGCTGGATATTTAGATGATTAATATTGAGCAAATTATGACTGATAAGAATTGTTTGAATATTAAGAAGAAATTAAGCTTAAATAAGAACTATGAGAATATGATATATGGTGAACTCATAAGATGATTTTTAGAAAAATAACACATTGATAAGAAAAAATGTCACACATGGACATCATTATTTATACAAACATGGAAAAAATGTTTATATTTAACCATTTATGCACTGAAAATATTAAGAATGATATTTGTTTAAGGTTGAAGGAGGAAAATATTACTGGGAGAAGGGAAGATCAAATAAATACACTATTAATTAATATACTAATTATGGAATTACAAAAATTAATTATTATTGATTGTTAATTGTTTTTTCCCAAAATATATGAACCAAGACAACACGCTGTACACTAGGCACTAAGAACTGTTACTGTAAAAAATCAATAAAACATTTCTAAAAAAAAAAGAGTTCAAAGAAGAGAAAGATAATGGCTCTCATAGCAAAAGATGGCGCCCAAAACAAGAGATAGTACCCACATAAACTGAATCAGGCAACAGCAGTCTGATGTGAAAGTACCGGGAGGCATGTAATGGTCAAGCTTGATGGATGTATGAAGTGGAGGTCATTTGGAGCCATAGCAAAAAAGGAAGTACATGGAACTCAAACAGGATCTGTACAACTAGAGTTGGGTAAGATGGGTGTGTGTGGGGGGGGTTTAATTAAGAAAATGAATAATAGAAGTTGTTCTGCTTTTGCTTCAGTGGTTATGAATCTCTGGAACAAGCAACACTGGAGGTGTGACATCTCTTCATGGCCCTCATAGTATATTGATGGGTTCATAAACCTTGAGACTTTTTACTTTAGCATGATCATTTTAGAAAGGAGAAATAGTTAGAACTAAATTATTCACACATCACAAATGCTTTTTCTTTTAGAAAGGTAGCATCTATGGGAGGAATTTTTTTAGTCTATCCTTTTTGTTAGCATGCTATAGTTCTAGATTGTTTTTGCTTTATCTGAAATAATATTTAAAGCTCACATAAATATTATGTGTTATAATGTGTCCGGTGAGGCTGCAATGCTCCTCTGAATTCAATGTGGGACAATCAGAACAGACTTTGTACAAAATAATTAATGGACAAAATTTGACATCAGGATTCAAAACCAGGACACAGTTAATATCAGAACTTTTCAACTTTCCAGGACTAACTTTTCACTGACTATTTGGGAAAATAGGGCTTTAACTCTACTATTGAGCAAGAGGTTATTGACTCACACATCAAAATTTCAGAAGGCAATTTCAGAAGGGCTCAAGAAATACAATGGGTTTTTAACACAACATGATTAATTGATAAAATCCTGGTCCCATCTTTCCCCCTCTTCCCTCACTGAAATTTAAGTCCTAGATCAGTCCAGTCAGTCCAGTCACAAAAGTATATGCCATGTAATAAAAGGTGTTAATTGGAAAATGCGTTACTAGACTTTTTGATTTGATAGAGTAAGCAGTTATATATATATGTACGGATGCTGCATATCTCTCTATAAATGCTTTCATACAGATTAGATGAAGAAGATAGAACTTATTAACATATGTGAGCTATAACTCTGAAGTGTAGTTACAGAAAACGTTTGCATTTTGAGAAACCCATTAAACTTGGGACATACTTCACAAAGAGATGTTCTAAAAATGCTTCATTGTGTATATATTGTGTAGGTTCAGCAAGTCCTGTTCCTAGCCTGAATCCAAAGCTCCACTTCTATTAGGAGAGATATTCCTGTTTATAGAATTCCCTGTAGCACCTCCAAAATTAATTCTGAAAAGAATCCAATGAACTTCCTCATATTCTCCTGAAAGCTTGTCAGAAAGAAAGCAGAAGGTTCAGTTCTATTTTGGACTATCTGCAATTTATCATGCCAACTGAATTTTAAACTGGTTGACTATAGTAAGCGATCACAAATCAGATCCATAAATTGTGGTTGAAGTTTAGTTATATCCACCAACTAAACAAACTATCATTTATCTGGCTTCAAATGACTTGGTGAGCTGTGATTAATTTTAGCCTGTAGTGAAGGCTTTCCAATATCTCTGTGGACACACGGGAGAAGGAAAGGCGAAAGTATAATCCTTGGAGCAAGCTAGTCTTAATCTCATAATAAAAAAGCACTTCTTTTTGTTCAATATGCCATCCAGTTCAGTCCATTCTTGGTTTGCTTTCTCTACTATTCATGAAAGTGCGATTGTTCAGCTTGTTATTCATATGCATAATAAGCCTGCAATAATTTTAGAAAGGAATTAATGAGCATTCGCTAAAATTATTCATAGGTTTAGAAATCTAGGATAGCAACATGGCTGAATGCCAATCTTTAACAGGAAAAGAAACAAGAGTATTCAAATAGGAAGGATTTTTTTCTTTTTGTATTTGGCATAACATGGATGATTTTTTTTTAAAAAAAATACCAGGTTTGTATAGATTTTTAAATAGGGACATTGTTTCATTAGAAATTGTGTCTATTCAAAGGATGATGTGAAGCAAAGCAGTGCTTTCAGCAAAGCCAAGTAGGCATTTAGCATGGGATTTCAAAAACTATAATATCAAACAACTCTGGCAGTTTGCCTACTCCTGTTGCACATTAAACCAATTAGATTTATGTTTCTGGAAATTTTGGGATTTTCCAAGATGTATCCCTCTTCCATTTGAATGGTGTTATGCTGGTAATGTAAGGAGTCCCATTTTTAAAAAGGAGTTATGTCTAAATAAAAAAAATGTTACAACTATTGTAACATTGAGTATATAGATTTATTTATGAGTTCACAAAAGGGGATCTTTATTATCCAAATGTTGAACTGTAATTTTACAGACAGAAATATATCAGCATTAAGTTGTCAAGCCCAAAACCAAGAATGACACATGGTGATTCTCCCAAGCTGAGTTCTTTATGGTTTTCATTTCTATAGACAAAGTCTTGACAGACTGAGGATTGTACCTTTTGGAACTGCAATATACTCTATGAACTCTCTGGGTGGCGAGGCTGTCTTCGCCCTTTTTTCCTCACATGACATCCGGGCTGAGTTGCCTCTTACTCCTACTGGGACTCCACTTCCTTACTACATCTAATCACAAAGCTATATAATAATGTTGAGTCTGAGATGCTGAAAAGCACGTATCGTAAAAATTACCAGGTCCTCATAAAAAGTAGTTATCAATCATCAAATCTGATTGAGTATTTCCCTACTGGAAGACAATCCACATTTTGTAAATTATATGCTAGAATCCACTGGAGCTGGGTGATAATAATAGTAATAACACAGAGGTGGGTACAAAACAGAAAATGTACTTTGTGCTTCAGTTGTTTGGACAATTTTAGGGTTTTTAGGTGGTGTTTGTACAGTTTCTTCGCTCTTTTATGACTTGTGCACTTCAACTCCCAGAATTTCTGAACCAGCATGGCTCAGCTTGGAAACCTCTCCCTTTCCCCTCAGCATGGCTGGCTCAGGAATTCTGGGAGTTGAAGTCCATGAGTGATAAAAGAGCCAAGACTGCCTACCCCTGGTCTAGATAAACCAAAATGGAGAGCATTTTCTCCTGACCTCTTCTAATTGCCATATGCTGTTACTGGTGGTCTTACCTCTTCTACATTATCACTCATCACAATACATCTCTGCCTGGATCTGGTTTTCTTCAGACTGGGTAGAAAGAGCAATTGAAACTGACTGTTTTGGGCACATCCCTAATATAATAACGCTTGGGCTATTATGGTACTTAAAAGCAAATTGAATCAACAATTAGCACAAACACCAACACATTTTTGTAGAAATCTAATTCATATACTTATGAAACTTTACAGCTATAACGTTGTCCAAAAATTATATATTTTCTGTTGTTATAAAATTCTGGGTATGCATTCATACAATTGTCGAAAAGCCAAATGCACTGAACAAATAAAACTGTGCATTGCTAATTTTCTTTAGGTTTTCGGGGACAAAAATATAAATATAAATCTCATACTGATACCTTTTATCACATGCATATAAACATTCTTGCAATAATTCTATTTTAACAAGAGCTTTGCTTTTTCTATTTTTATATGTGAATACCAATCTTGAATTAACATCTCACCATTATTTAAAACAGCAAAACTAATTTCTGCTTATATTCCCCCCCCCCAGAAGGTTTAATAACAGGTAATAAACAGAGGAAATTGAATGGCATGCATTTAAGTTCTAAGTGGAGAATGATCTTTCCAGGCCAATGTTGTCCTCTGCAGTTTTCTTAGCATAAAAACATTAGACAAGGTGAATTCACTTTTAATTCCTCACCACTCAGAATATGTACTTTAGATAAGACTATCAAGAGGTTTACTTAATAGCTAGAGCCAAACATTTACCACACAACAGGCACAAAATATTGCTGCCTAACTAATAAAGTCAAGAATTACAAAAATGAGAGCATGCTAGGTACTTGTGGACATTTAAAATCTCTTTTAAATGAAATTTCTAAATTTGCATCTCTGCCAAAAAAAATGTTAATATGAATAGTTAACTTACTGCATTGTGTGATTTTCTGTATATTAGATGTTATACGTTGGGCCAACTGGTTAGCATCCCCAGCAGTGTTTGCATTATACGCCATGGTGTATTATAATTCCACTAAAGTCATAGAGTTCAGGGACCACTAAGCAACAACACCTGAAAATAAAGAAACACAGTTTAACAACTTATACATAATGAGAAATTGTGCTTAGAAGCCACATTAACTAAGTCCTTTCTAAAAAAAGAATTTAATTTGAAAAAAAAGTTAAAATACAAAATTACAGCAAAAGAGAAAAGATGACAGATGGGAATAACAGGGAGAGTTTAAAATTTGACATTAAAAAAACAAAATAAATAAACGTTATTTCCAACTCTCTTCAATATCAATACCATTATATAATAAAATGAACTCTTGTTTTAGTTTAACAAAAGATACAAAATTAAAAATATAAAGATAATCAAATAACAGCAACAGTATGCATCATAATCTCTTAATTTGAATAAAACATATAACCCATATATGCATCATATTTTCCTTCAAAAATGGACATTACTAGTTATTTCTATAATAAAAATCTATAATAGGACATCCTCCACTTTCAGATTAGCCAAAATATAAACACTAAGGTAAAAATGTTTATCTATCAATCCCCAACAATACAGATTTCTATAATCAGGACAACCAAATCATTTTTGAAATCAGTAACAGATACGCAAATATACATCTGCATAACCAGAATGCCAAATATTACTGTTGGGTTCCCATGTAAAAAATATGGTTCAATACTAGCTTAACATTTTTCAAAGAAATATTAAATTCCTATTTTAGTTATTTTTCACATGATTTTATATGGTTTGTTTTTGGTAGGCTTCCCATTTCTTCTGAAAGATTTGATTTCATTTTGGCATTTGCAACCCTAAGGAGGAATGAAAGCTTAGCAAGGAAGGAGAGAGTTCAGGAGAATGAGACATTGAGGACAATTAAGACTTTCGGCAAATCCCAAAAGAATCACACTAATAAATAAGGACAGCTAGACGGGGAAGGAAGACACAACTCTGAAAAACTGTCGATGCAGAGAAGACCCACACATTTCTATACAAAAATGCACTTGAACAAATACACATCTAACACAGACTGAACTTATCAAAGAGAGATCCAATCTAGAACTAAGAAGAAACTTTCTCACAGTGCTTCCAGAAGTTGTGGTGCTTATCACTGGAGACTTTTAAGAAGAGATTGGATAGCCATTTGTCTGGAATGATATAAGGCAGTGATGGCGAACCTTTTAGAGACCGAGTGCCCAAAAATCGCTGCCACCCCCACCCTGCCCCGCAAGTCTACCCAACGCCTCCACCGACCGCCGACCGTCCAGCAGCACTGTGGTGGCCACATCCTCCACCCGTGCCCCACATCTGCACGTGGTGGGGCGTAAGGGCGGAGTCTTGTCCCCACTGCCATGTCCTTGGCTGTGCTGCTCCACACGGGCCATGCCCGGGGATGACTCTCCTCCAGGGGGCTGCTGGTAAGAAGGGAGCTACGGGGGAAGCGGGGCTGGGGCAACGGCATGTGTGCCTACAGAGAGGGCTCTGAGTGCTGCCTCTGGCATGTATGCCATAGATTCACCATCTCTGATATAAGGTCTCCTGCTTGAACAGGGGGTTGTACTAGAAAAGTTCCAAGATTCCAACCAACTCTGTTATTCTGTATTCTACATCAATCATCCCCAAACTGTTATCTTCAGGTTCACTGAATTATATAACATTCAGATATCATGAAGGATAAAAGAGAAGAGAATTGTTTTTGCCAATTTCAAGGTTTATCTCTGCAAACTTACCAGTTTGGTGACTGTAAAAAGCTTTACTAAAATCTATTTGTCAGATGTAGTTTTTTTTTTAATGAAAATATATCAAGAAGTAGCTGAGATACTTCTAAGAAAGCATAAGACCGATGATCAGAATTAAGTAGCCTTCCAACCAATTTCAAAAAAACATAGCAGAAGCCACAATAGAGATACAAGCTGACGTTTTTCAAATCTATTTTCAAATTCTTTTTCAATTCCTTTTACTACAATGCCATCTTTGCACATGGTAGTTATTTCCTCTTTCTCTGCTTTCAGTCTTTAGCACTTTCTGCAGAATTGGCTTATGGAGATAAAAGAAGTTTCCCACAGACTTATTGAACTCATTAGATCAAGGTTTCCTTCATCCTAGAGCAGGGATCCTCAAACTTGGCCACTTTAAGACTTGTGGATTTCAACTCCCAGCATGTCTTAAAGTGGCCAAGTTTGAGGATCCTTGTCCTAGTGTAATTAATCCTAATTAATCTCAAAAAATCAGGTCTTCTTTAAAAATACAAAAAAATTTTCTGAAATAAAACCAACCACCACTATCCTATCATCCCATTTCCTTTTGGGATAAGCAACATATAATAAGGTGAAGAAATGAAAACATATACATATAGCAAACATATGTATGGTATATACAAACACCCTCACTTTGCCTCTCTATACCTTTCTATCTTTGCACTATCTATCTTGTTTCCACTATATCCATTCACCATTTTAATACAATAGGTTTTTTTCCTTTCCAGCTTTGAACTTCCCATTTCTACCATTTTCAAGAATTCAAAAAATTTCAGCTTTCCCAGTCTCCCTCTCCCTCTCCAACAACTAGGTACTTCTTCCCTTTATTTGTTATGAGAGTTAATCATTCATTCAGTTTCCTTGAACAAGCCACTTCTTCTATACTGGTCACTCCACAATCATTCAGCTCCCATTCATTCTTGATCTACTTCTGGTTTTACTACTCCGTTCTTAAGTGCACTCAATTTACCTCTACATTTCTTGTGAGGTGCTCCACTGCTCCTTTCATTTAACGAAAGAAGCAGAAGTATGCTCTCTTAGGCCTATTTGCATTTATTTTGACATTCATTCCTCACCAGGGATCACATACTTGATTGTGTGCCATTAAATCAGTTTTGAATCTTAAGTGACCATGTAGATTTCCTCCATGATGGATCACTTGTATGTCTTACAACAGGGGTCTTCAAACTTGGCTCTTTTATGACTTGTGGACTTCAACTCCCAGAATTCCTCAGCCAGCATGCCTTTTTCTCCTATTCAGAAAACATTCTACCAATATACAAAATGCATGGGCCTGCTCTAGTAATTTGCCATTTAGAATAAAATAGAATATTCTTTATTGGCCAAGTGTGATTGGACACGCAGGGAATTTGTCTCCAGTGCATAAGCTCTCAGTGTGCATATAAGCAACAAGTGATAAATCATAATCATCATAAAATACATTTTATGCATAACTATTCAGTTTTCCCTGTCATAGCAAACTGCTTTGCCTTCTTGGTAAATTCATTTTCAGATCTACATGCTTCTTGGCATCATGCAAGCTAACATATGTTGCAAATTATTCACGATCTAGCCAACAATATTGCACCAATTGTAAACATGAACATTACACACTCACATGCACACCCAGTCCCCTTCTAAAATCACTACATCCTTTATACTTAATTCATAAATATATTAAACCATGATGATCTTTCCTTCCTGTTGACTGTTGAACCATCTTCAAGTTCTACATTTATTTTCACTTGCTTTACTTCCATATAGTCTTGTTTTGAATTCATTAACTCACTCCAGTTCCATTTAAAACTTTCCAAAATCTGAAATTATTCTCTTTATTACATGTTTTCTCTAGTTCAACAATTGTGGAGTAAACTTTCTCACGTTGATACATATCTCAGTGCCTAACACTTTATTTCCCAACTGTTGCTCTCTGCCTTTCACTCGGTGAAAGATTGTGGGGAGGCCAGTCCCAATATAAACTAGTCCATTGGAAATTCAACTTATAAATCACAATTCAGCACAGAGGCCACGAAATCTAGGACAAAGCATTTCAAATCATCCAAAGAGCTTCTGACTCGATATAATGAAGTTTATAAATTCCTTCTGCAGTTTCCAAGTTTTTGCATTTATCCCAAAATTAGCATAAGGATTCCTTACTAAAGTCTGTATAGTTCTCACTTCTTTGATCTTTGATCATCAGCTGTGTGGGTCTTGATAACATCATAATTCCACCAGATGTCTTCCCAGACACATTTAACAAACTAATCCTCCATATCTTTTGCAATTACTCTTGCTACATTTTCTTCTGTATAGGGGGAACATACTTCTGATCGTCAGACATGAATCCAGCTTTTGCACACCTAAAACAAGTTGCACAGCCATTCTATAAGCAGCCCATATCTACATTGTAAGGTTTTTTTCAGGTGTACCATGTACACTTGCAACCTGGTGGTTTTCAGCATTTTCATAACCCGATATCTTTTCAAATCTGATTAATTAATTAATAATTCTCTCAGAATGAAGGCAAAGACAATCTAAGAAAGGAAATCTGGACTAAAAGTAGGCAGTTGTTAAATACACATCGTGTTTCCAATACTGTATGTAACATTCCAGAATTCTCAGAAAAAAACTCTAAATAAGATCACTAGAGCAATTCAGCAAATTACCTGAGTAAAACAAGTGCACTTTAAAAATATTCATTTTAGCTTAATTATTACAAAGAACTCTTCAACTAAATGATTATACAATAACCAGGAGCATCAGAAATATGTTGTTTGCACAGTTAGCTGTCCTAAAGCTGGGATTAGGTTCAGATTTTATTTTAGTTAAAAGAAAGCAACTAAGGTATTTTAACTAAGAATAATAGAATTGGGAGGGACATTGGAGATCTTCTATCTAGTCCCTGCTCAAGCAGGAGACTTCACACTATTCCAGACAGACGGCTGTCCAATCTCTTCTTAAAAACTCCAGTGATGGAGCACCCAGAACCTCTGGAGGCAAGCGTGCCACTGCTATTTTGCTGATGGACTATCCTACAAATATATTGGGAAATTTTAAAGTCACAGATTTATGTTTCAATATTCAGGCTTTTTCTGAACTTAAAGAGAGCTTATAAAGTTCATCTCAACTGGCAAATACACTGGATGGTTGCCTTGCTGAGAATGGAAACGCAGCTTCCATTAATGGGGAGAATTGAGATCTTAAGAAGTTTCCCTTTGAAGATTGACAGGAGTGTGACATCTCTGCCAATATCCGTGTAAGCACTTACATTTTCCATGATACTCTGGATGGTAT